AATACAACTGCTTGCCTGGTCTCTTTTCAACATCACCGAGGAAGGAGCAGAATGACTGGAGGACAGTGTAGTGCCTTTAACATGTCCTTGTCCCCTGCAGCTCATTTGCTTCTGTTTAGTAGGGCCATAAATAGATGCTTCATTTATAGTTTAAAGCAGTGTTTCTCAACCTTGGCAACTTTAAGATGAGTGGACTTCAACTCCATGGCTGGCTGAGGAGTTCTGGGAGCTGAAGTCCACACATCTTCAAGCTGCCAAGGTTGAGAAACACTGCTTTAAACTATAAATGAAGCATCTATTTATGGCCCTACTAAACAGAAGCAAATGAGCTGCAGGGGACAAGGACATGTTAAAGGCACTACACTGTCCTCCAGTCATTCTGCTCCTTCCTCGGTGATGTTGAAAAGAGACCAGGCAAGCAGTTGTATTTTTTGGAATGCCACAGGGCTGGATTCTTTCTCCCTGTTTTTCAACATCTGTCTGAAGCTGCTGGAGGTCAACCATCTGGATTGGGAGACTGAATCAGTATGCTGGTGATATCCAAGAGTATATCGCTGCCCCAGGCTATACAATGTCTTGACCAAATGTCTAGGGGCTATGAATAGTCCACTGATACTGGACCAATGCAAGATAGAATTGCTCTTCCTTTGTTGAAGTTCTTGGATGTCTCTGGTGTTGTCTTTTGAAGGGAGAGCACTGCCCCTGAAAGAGCCATCTACAACTTGGAGTGTCTTCTGAATTTTTGGCTACTGCTTGTTGGGCAGGTGGAGGTCATATCAAGGGGATAGAGGGTGCCCAGCTCCAATCAGTATGCCAGTTGCAGCCCTACTTGGAGCAGAAGGACCTCCCAGTGGTAACTCATGCTCTCATACCACTTGTCTGGACTACTGTATTGTGCTGTATTTGGGGCTGCCTCTGAAGACTACCCACAAGCTTCAGTTAGTCCAGAGCACAGCAGACCATGTGCCACACATGGCCAGGAGCATATTTCACATGTGCTGGCTCCCCATAGGCTTCTGAGTGGTACAATTCAAAATGCTGGTTTTAGTCTTTGAAGCCTTGCATGGCTTGGCACAGAGATACTCACAGGACTGTCTTTTCCATCCACTTTTGATCCACTTCACTTGTATGTCACAACAGGACCTGCTAGTAGTTCCCACTCCCATGAAATGAGGAGGCGGAAACATGGAGACGCTGCTTTTGTTGCATCTGCACTCTGAAATAGCTCCCTTCCCCCCCAAAAATCGATCAGCTCCCATGTTGTTGGTTTTCTGTAAGTCACTAGAAACAGAGCACTTGAGGTGTGAAGTATTTGCACTGAATTTTATTGGTTTCATAATGATATTGATTTTTATCCGTTGATAGTTCTATTATGGATGTTTGATTGTGCTGGGTTACAGATGCTTTGTAAACTGCCAAGTGTCTTCTCAATTGCAGGGGGCCTAAAACTGAATGAATGAATGAATGAATGAATGAATGAATGAATGAATGAATGAATGAATGCTGGCGGGCCTGATGAGTTTTGTGTTTTTTGCCCCCAACAGGACCCAGCGGCAGCCTCCATCTCTGACAGAGACTGTGATACGAGAGAGGGCGAGACGGTAGCCATGAATTACAAACCATCCCCTCTGCAAGTGAAACTGGGTAAGTCTTGCGCACCTTGGCTGACGAACCGGAAGAGCGTTGCAATTCTGCTTTAACTGTACGCACGCATATTGCCAAATATACATATCCATCATGCTGTTCCTTTTTCAGGGTAAGC